TCAATGTGAATCCAAGGCAGACCTTTCAACATCACAGTAATCCAACTTTATGCACCAACCACTGATGCTGAAGAGGCTGAAATTGACCAATTCTATGAAGACTTACAATACTTCTATACTAAAAGGTTAAAAAAAATTGGAGTGATCAAAGATAAAACAGGGAAGAATTGCAGCCTAATGAAGGAATAATTAAAGATATAAGAATTTTATCACAATTTATATAAAAGTTATAGTACAATGAAAGAAGATGTAGAAAATTATATTAAAGAAAATGTTAAGAGTAAATTACTAGAAATGATAAAAGAGAATTAGAAAAAGAGATCAAGGATGAAGAGATTATAGAGATGATTAACAAACTAAAAATGGTAATACTTCAGGCTTTGATGGAATGGGATCAGAATATTATAAAGCGTTTAAATCAGTACTGATCCCCAAGTTAAAAATACTTTATAATGGGATATTGGAAGGAGAGAATATACCAGACTCTTGGAAACATTCATTAATAACTCTTATTCCAAAACCCAATAAAGATTTGACAGACCCAAGTTCATATAGACCTATTTCATTATTAAATCAAGATGCAAAGATATTTACTGCAATCTTGGTAAATAGAATGAATATGTTTATTACAAAATATATTAAAGAGGATCAAAATGGGTTTCTAAAGGGAAGACAAATGGAAAACTTAACTAGGAGGGTTTTGAATATTATATATAATAAAGAAAAAGATAAGTCAAAGGCATGTATTTTATCATTAGATATTTTTAAGGCATTTGATTATGTAGAATGGCCAACATTAAAGATTCTTTTAAAGAGTTGGGGTTTTGGAAATAAATTTAGGGGGATAATAGACCAATTATATATGGAGAATACTTTTGCAGTAATTGTTAATGATGGGACAACAGAGCAGATAGCTCTAGGCCGAGGCACTAGACAAGCTTTCTCCAGTTCTGTTTCATTTGATTATTGAAATGTTAGCAACACACCTCCTGGCAAATAGAAGGGGGAGATCTGGAGGCAGTGACAGATTTTACCTTCTTGGGCTCCATGATCACTGCAGATGATGACAGCAGCCACGAAATTAAAAGACACCTGCTTCTTGGGAAGAAAGCGATGACAAACCTCGATAGCAACAAAGGTCAGCATAGTCAAAGCTGTGGTTTTTCCAGTAGCGATGTATAGAAGTGAGAGCTAGACCATAAAGAAGGCTGACAGCCGAAGAATTGATGCTTTTGAATTGTAGTGCTGGAGGAGACTCTTGAGAGTCCCCTGGACTGCAAGGAGAACAAACCTATCAATTTTAAGGGAAATCAACCCTGAGTGCTCCCTGGAAGGACAGATCCTGAAGCTGAGGCGCCAGTACTTTGGCCATCTCATGAGAAGGGAAGACTCCCTGGAAAAGACCCTGATGTTGGGAAAGTGTGAAGGCAAGAGGAGAAGGGGACGACAGAGGACAAGATGGATGGACAGTGTCATCGAAGCTACCAACATGACTTTGACCAAACTCCAGAAGGCAGTGGAAGACAGGAGGGCCTGGCGTGCTCTGGTCCATGGGGTTACGAAGAGTCAGACACGACTCAATGACTAAACAATGGAATATCCATGTTCTGAAGAGTAATTTGTTTTAAGTTTTAAAATAAATTACCTTCTTGAACTTTGCTTAACTCAGAGATCAGCTATCCTATATTTGAATACGTCGCTTTTTCCTTCATTCAGCTGTTCTGTTGAGCCTCTGTTCACTATTACATATTTTTTCAAAAGGGCACATAATGCTGTCTGAAACGTCAGTAGCATATCTTGACATTTGATATGTGATTATTTTTTGTGATCTTTGTTTATGGCTCAATCTTTTCTAAAATAATATCATTGTGTGTATGCATTTTACAAGAGATGAAATTCATTCTAATAGCCAGTTACTTTTGGCAGACCTGGAAAAAACTGACTGCCATTCAGCAGTGAGTTGTCAGTATAAAACCAGTTCAGTACTATAAGGTTGAGAAGGAACAAATAGTGTGATGTAATTTTTAACCAGTTTTTGATCTTGCTGCTCTCAAGAATCAGTTTTAAGTGTCAAACGTTTTCTGTTGTGTTTTGAAATAAATCAGATCTTCTGCATTCATAAAATGGGTAACTGTTATATAGCTCTTTCTTCTCTCTTAAGGAAGGAAATTAGGCCTACCCATGTTTTCTAATTAAAATAAGAACTAATTGATTGATTATTTTAAAGTATATGACTCAAGAACACTTGAATAGTATTTAACTTTTGAATGATTCTTATTGCACAGCAAGACTTTTATTAATAAAAACACAGAGTACTTCATTGTACTGTTGAATTTGGGGGCTTAATCCTAACGTCTTCAGTTTCAGTAAAATTAGTTTTAATTTACTGGCAATGGATTTATGGCAGGCATCCAAATCAAGAGAATAAAGCAACATTGTACAGTATATGCTCTTGCTCAAGTCAGAAGAACTCACTTCTGATGATACAGTTCAGACAGAGACCTGCAAAGGAAATAAATGTATATGTGTTAAATTTCTCCTGGTGAAATCAGTGGCGTTTAAAGTGTTTGGGTTGGACTATGTAACAGAGTAGATAAAAATCAGTGATTAAAAAAATCGATTCAAATTGTAAAAAAAACACCCTGATTTTTTAATTTAAATCATTATTTAAATCAAATGCACCCTGTTTCTGAGTCTTTATTCCTTATATTTCCAATGTTTAGACTGTATGCTGTTGCTTATGTGGCCAAAATGATACTATCCATACATTAGATAGCAAGAGGTTTGAGAAATTTCAGGTTTTGCAGAAGTATACAGAATCTTTAAGAGGGAGAGAGAGAGAGAGAAAACCCCTAGATGTGTGAAAGAATGAGGGGGTGATCAGGAAGGTGATGAGGGAGGAGACCTTGTTTTGACATATCCTCTTCTTTGCAAGGATTCTGTGATAAAGGGGAGAAAAGTGGGTTACAATATAAATATTAATAATAACAACAACAAGGAGTTAATAAATTGTGCTAGTCAAGATAAATCTGGCATTACCTATGCTGTTCAGGTCTAGGGATATTGTAAGCCTCTGTCTTCAGCCAATCTTTAATTAAAACAACAACAACAATGATGCTTTGGATTTGCTTGCCCAAAGCCCAGAAGACAAACCTTATAAATAGTGTAAGAATACAAGCATATCAGGCAAAATCCAAGCAAACAAACAAACAAACAAAAAAGGAATATCTTGGCAGCTTTGCATTCCTGAACATGGAGAAGAAGAATTTTCATAAGATATTTTTTAAAAAATAATGCTCAAAAGTCCAGATACGTTTAACTTTTAATAGTGATTTCAATTTCAGTTATTGGCAGAAGATAGAGTTTCTTTACAGTCAATATTTCAAACATATTTGCTACGTATGTAAAATATATTTACAAACTGCTTTTTGTTTTATACATGGTAAGACGCAAGTGGAATTCTGTCTATTTTTCATCTCTTCTCCCTCTCTTTTAACAGCCCAGGCTGCTGGCAGTCAACCGTCACCGTTGCCACACCCAATTCAAGTAAAAGGTAATGGTATAAATGATAACTTTGCACTGGTTTGTGTGTGAGACAAACCAGTGTTCACTCACCTTGCAAATTCCCTTAATGCTCCAGCCTAAGGAAGTGATCTGTAATGCTCAATAATTTGTGCAGGAATGCGTGTTCTTCTTTGGATAATTAATGATTACTATTATCTGTGTTGTGAGGAATATTTCTTTAGCAGCATATAGCAGAGTGCTGTGGGAAGTATTTATTAACAAGACACATGTAGTCAGTCATCAGAAATATGAACCTGACAGTCAGAAAGCTTTCTGCAGATGACTGCGTAATTCATTTCTGTGTGCAAATGTGAGTTATCTCAGTTTCTTAAGTTCCATCTGAAGGCTGTAAAGGTGCACTTGGTGGTGCTTTTGTAGCTCCTTCCACCTGTATGAACACACTTTCAGAACCTGTAAGAAAGGAGAGACCACAGAGTCATGATTTTTGGAGCAACTCTGTGAAAATCCTTTTGATACATACATTATACAGCATTTAATACCCAATGAAATGAGGTATGAAAACCTCAAATCAGTCTCGTCTCCAGAGTTGTCCTTAGTAAAAACAACAACATCAACAAGTATATTTGCGAAGGCTTTCAACAAGCTTGGTTACACTTAAAGTCAACTGATAAAATATTTTGAATTGTAATTGCATCATTATCCTTAGTAGAAAAGAACATGCTAGTTAAAAGAAATGGTAATTTTCCATTGGCAAGCAAGAACCACATAGAATCGAGACCTAGTTTTATAGCAAGCAAACAGTCTCCCCATGATAAAGAAGAGAATGCCTCCCATACTATGCAGAGAATCTCACGTGATGTGGAGGTAGCAACATACCCTCTAATTTTCAGCCCCACTTTGTCCCTGCGTGTGCATGCAACTTCGCCCCCACACGCTGGGTTCTGTTGCGGCCGGAACCTAATGCAATTGCTGCATGGAGGAGGAAGACAGCTCCGTGGAGGGAAGCTGAGTTGTGCTCATGCATGCCCAGCTTAGCAGGAACCTTGGGGGGCAGATTGTTTGCTTGGGCATCCATGGAGTGCTGTCTTGCATGTGATAATATCAGTGTGATAGGTAGAAATGCATGTCTGTTCTTTCATTAAATCTATGCTTTGACCTTTTATTGTAGTATAGTAGAATTTTCAAAGTTGGTTTTCAAGGAAAAGGCTATACAAGACAGATGCCTCACAGGACAGAAAACTCGCAAGACAAATGGTTTTGGCAATGGGGTTGATGACTCGCAAGACAAATGTTCCTATGGCAGTGCATCGCAAGACAAATGTTTTCCGTTTTTTGTTCCTGCCTCATGTTTGCTCATTTTTAAATGTTTTTCTATGATGTTTAAAAAGTTAAAAGTTTTTTTATTGAAATTTTTAAAAATCATCTGCACAATATGTATGGCTTTAAAGAGCACTTAATAAACCATTTGTAAACCAAATTTGACTTTGTTCTGACTTTTTTTGCCCATAGGAACACATTAATTAGATTTCAATACATTCCTATGGGAAAATACGTTTCGCAAGATGAATTTTTCACAAGAGAACATTAACCGCGGAACGAATTAAATTTGTCTTGCAAGGCACCACTGTATATACAGTTTAAGTGTAATGGTGGGGGCAAGAGAGATTTTACCTTGAGTCTTCTATTTTGGTGCTTTGTATGTAACTCTTCTTAAATTGTTAAGGAAGGATGTAGGTGGAGACAATGGTGTATGTATTTAAGCTGGTTAACAGGCTGGTTTGAGATTTTGCACTCCCCTAAATCAAAGTTTATTGGAAATATTCCACCTATCATATGTATGCATGGAACAGTAAGCCAGGATTCTGGGAGATTTTGGTTTTCTATGAATAAACTGCTAGTATAAGCAGCATTTTGCCTCCCACTTGTCTCCTCCTGCTGAAGAGAGTCACTAAACAAACTAGATATGGTTTGCTCAGCTGTATATCTGAACCTTGGCTAGTTTGGATCCTGGCTTGTTGTTTCATTGTGAGCTTGGAATCTGGCTTCTTGGCAGCCACAAGCCAGGATACGAAGCTTGTGTGACATATTAAGCAAAACATTTCTGATTTGTTTGGCTATTCACAATTAGAGGAGTCAGGTTGAAGAAAGTGATTTGCATATACCAGTACATGACTCACTCATAGTTTCATTTTCATGTGTATGTATAGTATGGCCTATATGTTGCTGCTTTTATAGGTAATTGTAATTCCTGTATCTCTGGTAGCTTGAGTGTATGTATCCATTTGGTCACTAACTTGTTAAGTGTTCCATTTGCTGTATTTCCGTAATGCTATGCTGTTTGCTGTATTTTTGTGGCAAAATGGAATATTCATCCATTTTCAGTTGAGATAAATATGTAAATGAAGTATACACTATATAGACCTCCATTGAGGATAACTGTAAAGTGATTTCTAAAACTAAGCATAATCTTTTTAATTTTTAAGTGAAAGCTGTGCTTAAAAAGAGAGAATATGGACCAAAATACATGAAGAATAATTTCATCACTGGTGTCAGAGCAATAAATGAGTTCTGTCTGAAATCCAGGTATGATGGCTTCTAAGTTTACAAATTTGAATGAAATAGTTTCTGGTTTGCTAAAATGTGTTGAAAAGCTAGGTTTTCTAAGGTATTTGAGATATTTAAGTGTGTTGAAAAGCTAGGGAACAGAGAAGTCAGTAATGCTGTGGTTCAAAGCTGGTAGATTTCCATCTCTGGGCTCCTTTACCAGACAGGAGCCTAAAGAGAGGTCATAATGTTGACACTGTGCGGCAACAAGGGCTTCCTTAGTCAATGAAGAACATGTGATCAGGCATGTTTGTGTGTCATGCACCATTAAATTGATGCCAATTTGCAGTGACCGTAGTAGGTTTTCTAAGGTATTTGAGATATTTAAGGAGTGGCTTTATCACTTCCATCCCCACCTGCATGAGCTTCCAAGGCCAAGCAGGGATTTGGAGCCAGATCTTCTGAGTTCCAGTCCAACACTCTACCCACTACACTGCATATACTGTATGTATAACTGCACATATTGAGTACTTTCTGAAGCTGAAAAACCAGAACCATGCCATAAATAACCAGTTCCAAAAGTCACACGGACGACACTGCTTTCTGTTGGCAGCTAGTTGCTGAATGCCTGTTTGTGAAAGAAATGTTGCAGAATGAGCTGAAGCTCATACCCCAATATATTGGGGTAATGGTACTACTGGATCTTTGCCTGGGAGGTAAGCTGACTCTTTTTCTTAGGGAATATAATGCTCTTGTTCAGCAGCAGCAGCAGTAGCACAAACTGCCAGTGTTTACTGGTGGGAAAGACCTTGCAGAACGAGATAGTAAACAAGGCAGCAAGCAACATGCCAACAGAGGGATATTCATCTTGTGATCGCTTTCTCTCTTAGCTACTTAGTCTGGTGCTGCTTAGTGATTTGGCCAGGGTAGCATTTTTAATTGCTTAACTTAAATATTTTAAAGCACGCTGCTGAAGTGCAAACAGTTTGGGGGTAAATCCAGTTTTAATCCTATCTAGAGTAGATCCATTGAAACCAATGGGGGTATGTTAGTGTTGACTGTCAAGTCCCATTCATTTCAGTGAGCTGGCTCTAATTAGAATTTAATTGGATTTAGCCCTTGGCCAGTAATTTTTATTGCAAGAACAAGCTGTGTGTTATAACTGGGAATGCAGTACAATGGTTGCATACTGGTCTTCAGCCTGGAAGATGGTAATCTACTTGATAAATTAAGATTATCTTCATTTTCTTGTCTTGTGGCAATGATTTTCCTTTTCAAGAGTCTTTTTCTGTCCTTCAACAGTGACTTAGATCAGCTCAGGAAAATCAGGCGGCGAAGCCCTCATGATGATACAGAAACTTTCACTGTGTTTTTGAGATCAGATGTGGAGGCCAAGTAAGAACATTTTGAGAACATTACCTGTTATCTAAAATATATTTAGTGACTTACAGTACCTTTCCATATAACATTTATTTTCTTATTATTTTTGGCAGTAGTGTATTCATTCTTTTGGTAGGGTTTAATCCAAAAGTTGTGATGAGACCTCATTCCATATTGCTGTATAAAAGTGACCTTAATTTGGTATTTAAGAATCACAGATATTAGAAAACAGAAGTTGTTTTAGAAAGCATCACTCATAAAAGTGAAAATAAAATGTTTTTCTTTATTTTATTTTCCTTATTTTATTTTCTTGATACAGAGCTTTAGAAGTCTGGGGAAGTCTAGAAGCTCTTGCTCGAGAGAGGAAAAGGCGTAAAGAAGCAGAAGTAAAACACAGAGAAGGTAAGCGTAAACTGTGACAGAAAATCCTGAATAGTACTTGAGAGTCACCTAGCAAGAAACCTAGTAGTCATATTGGTACAGGTATTCATGTGAAATCTGAGTAACTTGTTCCAGATAAAATGACTAATTGGCAAAGTGGAATGGCATATAATGATTTATTGGCTAGAATTCTTTTGGTGTTCACATAAAGTTTGTGTAACTTGCTGCAACTAAATTATGAGGTGTCACAGTGTATCTTGGTCACATGCGTGGTAATGGTTTTGATTGTGCAACCAATATGCATCTCATCAATTAGCTGCAATTAGCCACTGTAATCTACCTTGTGTGAACACAATACGATTCTGACCAGTATATTTAATTTATACATGTTATTTGGTGATTCCGGTTGGGATTGAAGTTACTAGATGGCTGAAATCCTGTTACGTAACGTACGTCATATCATCACCTTTCCAATTCTCATCCCCTAAAGTCCATGGGGCTCTCATGGGATCCCTTTTGAGGAGTGTGATGACACCAGCTGATGTTGTGAAGATAGCTCAGATTTGGTTTGACTGCTGTTGTGTGTCAAATATATTGCTTATGCTAAGAGGGGCTTAATTTTTATAAATTACGTAGAAGAGGTTTGCTGGTTTGTGAGGATGATAGTTTTTCAAATTTGCAGATCACATGAAACGGAAGGATAGCTAACATCATAGAAGATGGAATCAAGGTTTGAAATTATCTTGAAAGACTGAACGTTAGGTTGAAATCAATGAGATGAAATTTGAAGTTCTGAGTCTCATCAGCTGTAGCTAATGCCTCTTTTACAGATTTATTCAGAAACCAAAGACTGTTAAAGGAATACAAAGACTTCTTAGGAGAAACTAAGGTGAGAGGATTATATTGTATCCATTCTTTTTGAGGTCTTCCTTCTTATTGGGCTGTTCTCATTCTCATACTTAGCACATATTTTATTATTTTTTATACTGTAAGATTGTAAAAAATGCACACAAGGCTGTTTCTGATGGGTATAAAGAATTAAACTTCTTGAGAATCTATTTTTCCTTTCAGAGAACAAGATTCTAAACTTTATAAATGCAAAGATGTTCTTGAAAGAGTGTAGGGAATAGCTGGTGAAATCTCAGAAGGAGTTGGTGATTGAGAAGTTACAGAGGTGTTGAGAACAAATGTATGATGGAGGGAAGAACTTCCTTTTTTCTAAAATGTGAACAGTAAAAAATATGGTTCTGAACTATTTTCTCTTTTAAAATAATGAATAAAATGTTTTTTGCGGCTAAGTTCTAAAATATTTGTGTCAGGTCTATAATATTTATGCTAACTATATGAATGGCTGGAATCAGTCCTTTATAAACAGCTATTCTCTTCTTAATACATCTGCATGTTTAGTTCATCAGTGAGCTTAATTTATGAAACTCCTTTTTAAATAAAAAGGTGCCCTTTGTTAATTAGGCACCAAATTATTTTTTAAAAATTATTACACTAATTTTTTATAACCTATGTTCCTTCAGATATTCATGGACTCTTAACTTTCCTGATTCATGTCCAGAGGGATAGGATTTGTAGTCCTGCAACATTTAATATGCTTCCCTCTCCCCCAATACTACGTAGATACATTTGTGGAAAATTTATTTTCTCTGGTGTATAGTGTTTGAAATCATAATTATATGGCTATGTTTAAAAAAACACATAAACTGCATGCTTGTGTTTCTAATTCAGCCACGTTCCACCACATCAGCTCTGTTTTTCAGTGGACCAGGAAAAGTGGTGATGGTTGCTGTTTGCATGTAAGTTTTTCTGTTAATATTAGTTAAACCTAGAAATTGAGAAGCATAGGTAAATGGGGTTACAGTTTTTCAGTATTTTGATCTGTAGTGGATGATTATGTGGTTCTGTTTCAATAGTTGAAGTTGCACATTAAAAAGGAAGCCCAGAGACTGATGTCCATGTCTTTGTGCATGGGCCGAACAGTAACTGAACAAAGTAACTGCAGAATGACAACGAGACTTACCTATCCCCAACAACACTTTGCACCATTCTCTGCAGGTTGTTGGATTGCCAAGTACAGCTGTTTCTCAGTCTTGTAAAGTTATTAGCAGAGACAGCTGGTAGTAAATTAGCTGCTTTGTCAGGCCATTTTATAGGTAGGCAATTTATTACACTTACTTAATATCTGCTGCATCACTGCAAAGTTAGACACTAGTCCAGAGGCAGATTAATGTTCCCACCCATGGTTAGGGGGTCATGGGTGTAGCTGTAGGGTTGTGCCTTCTCCCTTGCAAATTGTCTCATGCTATCCATTGTGCAGTATAGCATTTAGTGTCTTCACTATTAACAAGATTTCCCTACTCTTAACTAGAGATGGAAGCCTGTGTTGATTTAATCTTGAACACCCTGATTATGAATGTCTGATGCCAATTATGAATAATGCTGCTGGAGACATCATGATATACCATAAAAATAAAAAGAGACCCTGCACCATGTGCACAATGTCTTAACCATGCCAGTTGGTTCCGTGCAGATATATTGTTCCCAGTATTTGCTTTCCTCATCCCCCCCCACCGAATCTTGGAATATCTGGATGACAGATTATTTTTACAATCGTAATCCACGTCACCTTTTGTAACCTTAAAATTAGGGAATATCACACGTTCAGTCTTTGTGGAATATGTAAAACATTATAGGTGCTTGATATATTATCATATTTGATTTTTTCACCCATCCACAGAAATGGCCTGAATTTTTTCTTCAAGCTGCTGGCTTGGATTTATACGGGTTCTGCAAGCATGTTTTCAGAAGCCATACATTCTTTAGCAGATACTTGCAATCAAGTAAGTACTGTCTTCAGTTGTGAATTTTGGTCATAGACAATGCTATGCAGTGAGCTGTTAACTTCCAAGTATATATATGCATACATATGGTAATAAACAATATCTCAGTGACTTCACTTGCCACAGTTAACACTGTAATGTGTGAAGTGGAAATGCAATTTGATGGGATATGCAAGCAGGCCTTGATCTGCTGGAGTTTGTCTACTTCATATTTCAATTCAAGTCTGTTTTTTTAAAAGAGTATGTTGTATTCCCACCACAAACAGTGGTGTATTTGAAGAAATTATGCTGCAGTACAAAATGTGATTTGGCCCTTAGTTTCATAAGAACTAACATAACTAATGTACTGACAGGATAGGATAGGAAACAACAGTGAAAGAGCTAGTTGCTAACAAGCTAGGCAGGAATGTAGAGCAGTTTTAAATTATGTGACAGTAGAGTTGGAAATGACAAAATATCAAGAAGTCACATTTTAAACATTGTAGCAATTTGTATAGGATATTTGGTATACCACTGTATGTAAGAACCCCAAACAAGTTATTGTTTCTGAACATAGAAATTCATCTTGACCATCATCTTTTTTGTACATATATTGCTGATTTCACTTCAGTAATTCAGAATGAATATTTCCCCCCCCCCCTGAAATAGAATATGGATTCAGTAATGGCACATTCTGCTTTTACCTAACCCATTGATTAATCCAATAATTAGTGGCCAATATACAAGTTCCTCAGCAGATAAATCAGTTATGAGGGGTTTCTAAAAATAGAAAACTTGAAGGTGACTGAATTGGCTTATAAAACACATTAACCAAGATAGGTTGTCTTTTAAATGATAAAGAAGAGTGTATAAATATTTGAGGTTATAATGTCCCTCCCATAAACAGTGGTCAGACTAAATTATTCTAGTGAGATCAATAGTGTTGGTATTTTTCAACCTGTTTTCTTTTTAAACATAGATTTTACTAGCAGTGGGAATCAGCCAGTCTGCGAGGACACCAGACCCAAGTCATCCGTAAGAATATTGTTATTTAAACACACATGTGTATAATCAAATTCTAATTCCTGAACTTACTATTGCTTATTTCTTAACTGACCAAAGGCTTAAAGTAACTTTTGAATTTCATACTTGTGCCTACCTTTATCATTTGAATGTGTCCAGATTGTGTCACAGTATGGTGGCAGTATTAGACTCTGAGAGGATACATTTTGCTGCTCTCAGGGCTATGCGAGGCTGACCAGTGGCACATGCCACGTTTTTTTTGCATGGTGTTAAAACAGTGGGTGGAGAAGAGCTTGCCATATGGTAGGTAGGCCTTTTTTGCCCCATTGACAGGTAAGCATCAATAGAGGTGATTTTAAAGCCTTATTAGATGGTGAGCTTGAGACATCTCCAATTCTGTTCACTTTTGGCTTTGCTGGCTTTTGCCCAAGCGAGCATAGCTGGTGGTGCGTGAAGGTAGTGCACTTCAAAGACTATGTATTTCTGGCTGCACATTGTCACATTTTCAGCTGAGGACTGATGTTACTATTAAGTGAATTTTGTTGACTTTTTTGCATTGCTTATTAAGCATTTTAATAAATTTCTAAAAATCTACCTGAAGCTGTGCTGCAATTATACACAGATACAGATGGGTTAAGGACAAAGCAGGCTTAGAAAAGGGTTGATATTGTGTAATAGTTCATAAACCATAATGTTGAGACAAGATGCAACTTTTAGCAGCTGTGTTTTAATCATCCTGCTAGCTCTTCAACATGCAGAATCTTCAGGTTTCCTTTTTTGGTATCACTGAATCTTGGAGGGGATCTGCTTAGTAGCGTGGTAAACACTTTGCATGCATGATGTTTCAGGTCTACTCCATGATGTCTCCAGGCAGGGTTGGGAAAATTTCTGGTCAGTATGTCAGAATGTGAAATTTTGTATGTATAGGGTGTTAATTAATCCTTAAGTGGGATAAATGCCAGCTGTGGAGAACACATGCTTCTGATTTTTCCTTAGAGGCCTGTAAAGCTCTGTAGAGGAATCTTAGGAAGATGTTCAGGCCTCAGAATCCTTGACCTGAGAAGTACAGACCAGTGCTTCCCAACCTTGAACTCTAAGATGTTGTTGGACAAAAACTATCGGAATCTCTCACTATTGGTCAGCGGCCATGCTTGGGAGTTGAAACTCCCAAGGCTCGGAATTCCGGAGAAGATATTATTTAGCTTGATGGACTAGTGGTCTAATCCCTATGTAAAAGTGTCATTTCCTCCTCTTCATCCAGGTATGGCTTCACAAACATGCGCTACATTGCATCATTGATTAGCGGAGTTGGCATTTTCATGATGGGTGCAGGACTTTCTTGGTATCATGGTATTGTAGGTTTGCTTAATCCACAGCCTATGGAATCTCTTCTTTGGGTAAGTTGAACATAGTAGAACATTTTAGTTAGGCAGTACGTATTTAGTTATAATTCACTATTTCATAGTTTTTTAAAATGAAATCTCAAAGACAGTAAATGAGGTGAAGAAACCAACTAAAATGAGATTATCTATGCTGTTCTGATATTCTGGAAGTGAAAAGTTCCTGTTTTGGAGTCCTGTGGTGGGAACCTTTGGCCCTACAGATCTTGTTGGACTCCAACTCCTGTTAGGCCTTAACCAGCATGACAATAGTTGAGGAGAGTTGATGTTCACCCCATCATAGAAGGTGTCCACCAACCCATTTTCTTGGATTTTGCTCATGTTTATCAAACATTTTTAGCCACTGAGATATATGTATTCACAGGAACCAAACGGAAAATATTTTGAACTGCCTTCATGGTTCATTTTCTGTATGCCCTTTTCAATATTGGCTTCTGCACACACAACAGTGAATTAGCATTTAGTTTGTTTGGAGGGAAAATAAAAGCTTTGACTAGGAGGTGACGGTTTTGAGGAAGCACCACCATGCCTGCTGTGTTTTGGAGACTAAGCCTCTGGGACAAATGTGGTTCCATAAAATATGTAATTGGTTTTGGCTTCACAATTTCTGTTATAAGAAGAGGGAAATTGTTTTTGATGTGTTAGAAATAAGATAGATGTCAATAGCAAAAATCTATGGTTTTGTAAGGTAATATAAAAATATGTGTATGTTACATCTTAGTGTGTGTGCTTTGGACTTAAGATGCCATTGCTGCTACATAGTATTTTCTTTATTATAGAGCCTAGTCATTCTGGTAATTACAGTTCTGTCCTTTTGATTATTATTACTTTTAAGATTATAGGAGCTCTCTGTCTTGAGGAGAAATAATTATACAAACTAATATTCTGGATCTTTTCCTCAGCTCAGTCTCAAAAGTCAGGAAACGATTTTTGAATTCTACATGATTTACAAGGCTTTTCACCATGTATTAATGACATTCTTGTCCTTCTCTTATTTTCAGGCTTATTGTATTTTAGCAGGATCAGTGGTCTCTGAAGGAGGTATGCTACCACCAGCAAAATATATAATTTATTTAGTAGTATGTTATTAGTTTACACATGCATTAATAGATGCTTTAAAGTTGAATTAATTTACTTCTAGTAATATGAGCTCTCTTAGATTTCAAGAGTAGAGCTTGTAAAATTACTTAAAATTTTTTTAAAGTGATTTGTTAAATATTGTGTTCCAAATAACAAAAAAAGAATCTGTTCACATTATATTACCAGGTATGTTACTTAGGTTTTTTTTCTCGTTACTCTAAAAAGGAACGCCTTAAGATTGAAAACAGAACAGCATAAAAATTCTGTTGCGTAACTTCAAAAATAACCAGGAAACTGTACTTCCTGCACCCCAAAAAGTTTTTATTTGGTTATTTTTGAAAGGTAACTTTGTTATTAACTATTAAAAACATTAGGGTGTTAGTGGTATTTATGTTACTTATAACTTTTTTTCTTTGAATATGTGCTGAAGTACAGCAATTTTAAGTATGAAAATCTAACCAAATGAATTAAAGGTCAGAGATACAACAATAGTATGTGTGTATAGGTAGATAAAAATGCTGTACTTCTCTCCCATGCTTTCAGAGAGCTGATTTTGAACATCCAGCAGTCTTCCTTGTTGCAGTTACTGATAATTTGCTCATTTGTCACTTGCCAATTAATTTATATATTTATTTATTTACAATATTTTTTAGCCGCACCATTGCCAGTGGCTTCTTATATGTTGAACTCATGTCATATATTCAGTACTATCATTCCCCCTGCTTCTGAAAGTTAAGATTCTGGGTGACATCACCTATATAACAAGAATAGCTGTAACTATGTACAAAAGGAAGGTCTTGTGTAGGTTTTGGGTGAACCCCAAAGTTTACAGAAGTACCAAAACTCTCCATGAAAAAATGTCTCCCTCAATGAGCCCAATGAGGACTGAGCATGCTGAGTGGCCATAGAATGCTGCCTTACTGCTGAAAGGGAGGGAATAGAGAATGGGAGAAAATAAGAGAATGGAGTGGCTGGAATCCTCAGCAGCAGCACTTGATAGTGCAACATTGAGCGTCTGGTTTTGATTATTTTGTTCTGATATATTAGATGACGTGGAAATACAGCAAAGATTGAATGAATAGATCAGATGCACTGGTTATGTATAAAAGACTTCTGGATAACCAGTTAATTCTAGTATAGGTTTTATTTTTTCATTTGCTTACATGTTTATTTTAAACATTTCTTTCTCACTCTTCTATCTGTTAGATCTCTCAAAGTGAGTCAGGTGGAATATAAGTACAAGATATAAATGCGGTATATAAAAAATAGATTAATAGACTGGAGGCTAGAATCATCTTGAAGGAACAAGGTATTGGCTAGGATTTCATCCAACCAATTCCCTGAGTTCAGAAGGGGCTTAGACATGTTTCCTTAACATTGCTGCCTCCCGTTCTGTATGACAAGATGCTTTTGACTCGGAAGTTTTTAAAACAACTCATGGTGTGGCATGCAGTTGAACTATTTAAAATCTTAAAAGATGACGCTGTTAATGTGCTACACTCAATATGCCAACAAGTTTGGAAAACTCAGCAGTGGCCAGAGGATTGGAAAAGATCAGTCTACATCCCAATCCCAAAGAAGCGCAGTGCCAAAGAATGCTCCAACTATCGTACAATTGCATTCATTTCACACTAGCAAGATTATGCTCAAAATCCTCCAAGACAGGTTTCAACAGTATGTGGACTGAGAACTCCCAGAAGCTGGATTTTGAAGGGGCAGAGGAACTAGAGACCAAATTGCTAACATGTGCTGGATTATGGAGAAAGCCAGAGAGTTCCAGAAAAACATCTACTTCTGCATCATTGACTATGCAAAAGCCTTTGACTGTGTGGACCACAGCAAACTATGGCAAGTTCTTAAAGAAATGGGAGTGTTTGACCACCTTATCCATCTCTTGAGAAATCTATATGTGGGACAGGAAGCAACAGTTAGAACTGGATATGGAACAATTGATTGGTTCAAAATTGGGAAAGGAGTATGACAAGGCTGTATATTGTCTCCCTGCTTATTTAACATATGCAGAATACATCATGTGAAAGGCTGGACTGGATGAATCCCAAACTGGAATTAAGATTGCCGGAAAAAATATCAGCTGCTTCAGATATGCAGATGATACCACTCTGATGGCAGAAAGTGAGGAGGAATTAAAGAATCTCTTAATGAGGGTGAAAGAGGAGAGTGCAAAAATTGTCTGAAGCTCAACATCCAAAAAACTAAGATCATGGCCACTGGCCCCATCACCTCTTGGCAAATAGAAGGGGAAGATATGGAGGCAGTGACAGATTTTACTTTCTTGGTCTCCATGATCAATGCAGATGGTGACATCAGCCACACAATTAAAAGACACCTGCTTCTTGGGAGGAAAGTGATGACAAACCTAGATAGCATCTTAAAAAGCAGAGACATCACCTTGCTGATAAAGGTCCGCATAGTCAAAGCTATGGTTTTTCCAGTAGTGATGTATGAAAGTGAGAGCTGGCTCATAAAGAAGGCTGATTGCCGAAGAATTGATGCTTTTGAATTGTGGTGGTGATGGAGACTCTTTGGCAGGAAATCAACCCTGAGTGCTCACTGGAAGGACAGATCCTGAAGCTGAGGTTCCAATACAGTGGTGCCTCGCTTAGCAATGTTAATTCGTTCCAAAAAAATCGCTGCTAAGCGATTTCATACAGGAAAACATTTAAAAAACAGCAAACATGAGGCTGTTTAAGCCATTGTTAAGCGAAACAGGAGACCCAAAATTTAATCGCTATGCGAAGCATGGTCCCAACCATCGCTAAGCAAATATCGCCCATAGGGACCATCGTTAAACGAAGCGCAAAAAGACTCTGGAAAAGTCATCGCTAAGCAATTTCGTCGTTAAACAGAGCAATCGCTAAGCGAAGCACCACTCATGAGAAGAGAAGACTCCCTGGAAAAGACACTGATGTTGGGAAAGTGTGAAGGCAAGAGGATAAGGGGATGACAGCGGATGAGATGGTTGGCCAGTGTCATCAAAGCTACCAACATGAATTTGACCCAAC